ACTTACATGTAATTCTATACTGCAGTCGTTCCATTTATATATATATATATATAACGTTTTTAATTTCGTCATGTATAATTATACATATTTTTACACAATTATGTAAAATATTGTATAACTCTATTAAATGCTACATGATTATATATGAGAAATTTTTTACCGGGTAGTTCGTTTTTTTATTAAGAATATACATATACGAGGTGTTTCATAATATACAATCAATCTGTACATTAAAATATTAATAATATAAAATTTTAAAAACGAAATAAAAAAGTTCTTTGATTTTTTAATCCAAGCAACAGTTTCTAAAATATAAATATTAAAAATTAGTCACTAAAGTTTCATGGTTAATTCGCGGTTAAAAGCGGTCGTTTTAAATTCTTAATTTTAAATTCTTATGTTGTAAAAACTATTACTTGGATTGAAAAATCGCAAAGAACTTTTCTTATTTTGTTCTTTGAGAACTTTCATGTAGTAATATTTTAATTCGCAAATTACGGGACACCTTGTATATAGAATATAAATGGTTAATAGATATTGTATACATACCTCCAAGTTCCTCTGTCTCGCAAGTTGAAGGAAGCACTATCACACTGTTTATATTTTCTGTAAAATATTATATTACAAATTGTAAATTTATTAAATTTTGTGTTTATATATAAAATATCAAAGTTAACTTTTTTCATCATCAATCATTTTTGGAACACATTGTTATTTGTTATTACAGATATACAAATTACATAATGTTAATATGAATAAAAATAAATTATACATACCATTTTGTTTTTTATAATTATTCATTTCATTGGATGCTAGTATGTAAGTAGAACATGATGCCACAGCAGCAATATTTTTTGATAAGTGTTCTATAAAAAGTACAAATAAAAGAAAGATTTTATAAAATACAGATAATAAAAAATTTAATCATAGATAAAAGTTTTATATGTATAACTATGAGCATTTTTTACATAAAATTAATTATTGTCGTTTTCAACATAAAAAAAATATTTTTATGTTGGAAATATTATTTTTTAAAATTTTAAGTAATATATTATTATTTATTGTTTCAGGTTAAATAAGTCATTATAATTTAGGGAAAAAAGATACGTACTGTCCTGTTTTCTATTGTTGGGATATTGTTTACGTTGTTCTGACAATGAGATGTATGCAGAAGAGGGAGGTGGTATGCGTCGTCTTTTTTTTGTTGTATGTTCTGTAAAATATATATTTAATATTATTAATAGGAATATAAACTTATATACTGAAGAAATAAAAGAGTAAAAAAAAAATATAAATTACTACCGTTGGTAGTATCGTCCAATTCATCATGAAAAGCAGGTCTTTTTATTGTTCTTTTTTGCGGGTTTTTTTCTGGTTGTTGGTTGAGGATTTCCAATTGTCCCTCTTCCGAGGTAGAGACATAAATAGCATGATCTTCCATTTTTCGAGCTATATCATACGTTTCTATGAAAAATTATAAACATATTTTATGACATTAAAAATTTATAACATTAAATGTTTCATGTCCGGTTCCACTAACGTAGATTAACTTTAATCTTGGTTCAACTTACTCTTCACCTTTTTCTAATTCTTAGAATTAGGTTAGAATTAAAGTTAATCTACGTTGATGGAACCGGGCATCAGACATTTTTTTTGTAATATAATTAATTGTTTATAATTACTATATGGTCCAGTAATGCGTCGATAATCCAGTGTAATCCAATTATTTTGCGGCTGAATGCTTTTCATTATTGCCTTTGTCACATTAATAGTTTTTGGAGGCCATAAAAATGTCTGAGTATTAAAATTTACCCACTGCTGCGGTATTGTCGAGCACCAATCGTCGTAAAATATGATGTAGTACATGATCTGAAATAAACATTTTTGTGATAATGATTATTATGTTTAAAATGTTTTTTATTATATTTTATTTTATTAAATATTTCTCCTTTATACTCAATATGCTTACAATTATATATGCAAAAGAGGCATTATGTAATTATCGCCATTATAAAAAACTTCTAAACCTTTATTGTCTATTTCTATTACAGATACTATTTTAAGATCTGGTGTTTCTCTATTTGTTATATGTATATTTTCATATCTTGAGAATTGCAAGGATACATAGATATCGATTAAAGATCTAGATATTTTTTTCCCAAGACAATTGGATTTTTATCTTTTAAACCAAAATATTTTATAGAAAAAATAGATCCATCTTTTAAATAGCAACAATTATTTGAAGATTTAGTTGTTAATGTAAAATTTTTAAATTTTATTTTTTTGTATAATTTGCACAATAATTGATTGTTTGTATTTTGACATTGTAAAAGGAGGCTTCTCCCATCTGGCTTTATAAGTAACGGCTCATCAGTATTGGAACTGTTATAATTATTTGTACATTTCATCGCGTTCATGGATTCTATTATTTAGTTGCAATAGCGGTTTTTCTAATTTGCGCAACATTTTTTTTATATCTTTTATGTAATTCTCAAAGGAGAATGCACTAAATGTATCAAGGAAACCATATATCTTAACATCATGACAGACATTAATTAGATTGTGAACATTGTAGACTCTATATTATCCTTACCATATAATATTTTAAATATTTTAACAAAATATATTAATAATAATAATGTGCATATATATTATTACGCAAGCAATCTGTTGTATTACATAGAATACGTATGGCAGTATGTAAAGCACAGAAATGTTTAAAGTAATCTTCTTTTAAGTGTTTGCGTAAAATTATGGGACCAAATATAAAAGAAACATTCTAAATTCCGTTGCTTTCCAACGATCTAATTCATTTAAACCTCGTGGATAACGGCTAAATTCGATCGGTATAAATTTACGTAATGTTATTAAATCGTTAGATAATGTCTTTATATCTGCTGCACGTAACCGTAATATATGGTTTCTTTTAATCCATAAATACACACACACACACACAACACACACACAGCATTTTTTTTTTCATCACTCCTAAACATATCAAATGCATATAATCTAATGAAAAAGTATTAATCATATCTATAGGCAAATCTTCAAAGGGCGAAACGGAAACATAATGTTCTTTATTTTTCCGATTGCGGATCAAAAAAACCATTTTATGCTTGTAATAATCACCTTCACAACAACAATTCCTGCAACTAATATATGCATTATGCCCTTTCGTTCCAGTAACAAAAGATTTTGCAGGAGCATCACAAATAACCGCTCTGATTTTTATATAATATTTTTTATCTTAAAAAAAAAGCCTTTTTTTTGTAGGATGCGGTATTTATTACAAAATTTTTGTAATAGATCGTTTGCATCTGTAGGTTTCTTATAACTGTAGTAGGCACCAATTAAAAAGAGTTTTGTTATGAATTCTATTATTATAGATTTGGCCAAGTATAGGCAATAATTGACTCTGCGAACTTTTAGAAAGAAGAAAGCCATCAATATTTATATTTAATTCGATAACATTACTTATATTTTTATACATTCCAATTTTTCGCGTAATGCTTTTTCTAAACCATAATAAAAAAAAATGTCCAGCTCCACATTCACAGAAAAATGTGTTTTTAGGTGTGCCTAAAATAGTTCTGGTATTACTAGGCAATTCATTGTGACCTTCTTCCCGTAGAATTTTTAATAAAGCTGTGAAAGATTTTTATGTTACATTGTACTCAGTAGCCCAAATATGCAATCGTTGCTGCAAAGTGTCTTTTCGTATCTTAGTATTATTATATAAACAAAATTCCTCTGTAGATTTGATATTATTTTCTGCGTTATCTGCATTTAGCATGCATCTAGACTCGACTTTATGTAATTCTATTGTATTTAAATTATTATTATATTCTGTTGTAATTAAATTTTGTCTTTTTAAAAAACATTTCGTAGAAGTGTGCTTGTCATTATTTTGTTTTACATAAAGCATTAAACGACGATATTTTTGACTTCGAAATAAATCCCTAAATTTTTTTACGGGTATCTTATAAGTTTTATTATTTCTTAATACACACGCAAAAGTATTCTGCAAAAATTAAATTGTATTGTACATTGCAAATTATACATTGCCAAATTTGCGAAAGCACATTTATTTTTATTAAAAAATCAAAATCATATTTTCGCAGAAAAAGAAGTATTTTAAATAAATTGCAAGCGTATGGTATTAAAGAATTTGTATAATTTATCAAAGTCACTAAATTTTACCCTAAAAGATTAATTTCTAATAACAAAACTTTGTCAATATTTCTAATTCAGCTGTTCGACTATGACAGTTTGCTGTTCTCCGAACATCTCAGGTTCGATATCTCCTTTACTATATGTGTATCTAATTATTATTATTACGAGCCTATATACTTTTTATGTAATAATTTTAAAAAGTTGAAAGATGTATAGAGTTTGTTAATCATCTAGTTTATTAAGAAAAATTTAGAAAAAAATAAAAAATATATATCGAAACTATGAAATCATATGAGCAAAACAGTCAGTGCTGGATGTACGTGCAAAACATACAAAGTGATTATAAAGTAATTTCCTTATTTTAAAATTCCATAACTTCTAAATGGCTCGTCCGATTTCAATAAAATTTATCAAGGGCACTAATAAGTTCTGTTTGAAATTAAAAAAAAATGTTTTAAAAATTTTCAAAAAATGTCATTTTTGAGCTATAATTATCGATTTTTATTTGGCTTCTACGAATTCATCTGTGCTCTAATTGCATTCACAACGTTATTATGAGTTATGATGAATCTTTCTTAGTTCAATTTCTCACCTGTTTTCTGAGATCATTGGAATTCAAGCTCCATCACCACGTCAAGATGGAAATCCGTTGATGGAGTTATAATTTCTTTTTTTCGGGCTAATTTTAAATCTTTTTATTTGCTTTTTTTCATTTTGTTGAAGAAATTAACGATTAACAATTTAAATTTTTGACAATAAAAAAAAAAAACAATGTAACTCAGCGCTTGCGCAGTGCTTGCATTAAAGTTGATTTTTTTTATCATCAAAAATTTAAATTGTTAATTTTTTCAACGAAATAAAAAAAAAGATTTAAATTAGCTCGAAAAAAAAATTATAACTCCATCAACGGGTTTCCACCTTGACGTGGTGATGGAGCTTGAATTCCAATGATCTCAGAAAACAGGTGAAAAATTGACCTAAGAGGGACCCATCATAACTCATAACAACATTGTAAATCTAATTAGAGCACGGATGAATTCGTAGAAACCAAATAAAAATCGATAATTATAGCTGAAAAATGACATTTTTTGAAAATTTTCAAAAAAATTATTTTTTAATTTCAAACAAAACTTATTAGTGCCATGAACACCTCTGATAAATTTTATTAGAATCAGACGAGCCATTTAGAAGTTATGGAATTTTAAAATAGGGAAGTTACTTTATAATCACCCTGTATATTATAAAGAAAGATATCAACACAACACAAACATGTTTCTGCCTCTACAGGCCTCCCTCGATGTAAATAACAATTATCTATACAATTCAAATTAAAACCCTGATGGAAATATTTTTCTAAAAATATAACGAAATTTTGCTGAAATGTATTTGAAAATTTTTCTCAATTGACCCCATTAATTAATTTCATAAATATTTCAGCAATTTTTTATTAAAAAGTAACAGTTTTCAGTTTAATTCAGTAAATTTCATAATGATAATTATTTAAAAACTCTTTTATTACTTTTCAGCACTATATTTTAACTTTCTTTATATCTCATAGTATTATATTAAATTTTCATACGGAAAATTATGATTTATTTTGAAATATAATTTTTCAAAAACTTTTATTTTACTTTTCATTGATTTCATAGTACTTTCAGCAAAATATTTTCATCAGGGAAAATATAGAGAGTCGTACACATTTTATAATAAAATTAATTAATAACGCATTCAAATATAAAAAATAAAACTTGTAAAATGATTATTGGTTATTAAGATAGTAAATTAAATCGCACTATTAATAAATCTAGATTCAAAGATAATTTTTTAAAAATTTATCTAATATTTTATTTGGTGGAACATTACCTCAATTTAGAAGAAATGATTAATGCCCTGTTTGCCTTTGTTTGACGTTTTTTGTATTCGCCCAGAAAACACTTATAAACCCACACAATATTACGTCGTCTTATATTTGTCTGAGAGACATCTTAAAATCACTCAGACGTCTTACGAAATTGTCAAAAAGACGTATTTAAAACGTCTCTGCAACAATTTTCGACGATTTAAAAACGTCTTTGAGATGTCTCTTGATTTGTCTTACAAGACGTCTGTGAGATTTATTTTAAGATGTCCTTAAGACAAACGTTTTATTAAGATGACGATTTTATACTCAAGTAGCTTATTCTATAATAACCTATCAAATAGGTTATTATATTATATAACTAATTATAATAATAAAAAAACATCAGATGACGATCATTTGCTACTTAAGTAATTATTTTAGAATAAAATATTTTTAAACTTGTTCCCACACAACACGTATGTTTTAACAACGTTCTGTAGACGTCTATTTTATTATGTCTTTGAGGCATTATTTAAAGATGATGTACAAACGTCTGACGGATCTTTTGTAATGGAGGATTCACACTGTTTCCGATGTCCGACGTACGACGTCTGATGTCCAATAACAGAGCTTGTTTTCTAGAAATTCTAGCTAGAGATATTTTATCGTCCAGAAAACAAGCTCTATTATTGGATATCGGACGTCGTATGTCGGATATCGGACGCAGTGTGAATCCTCACTATGACGTCACTAAAAGGCCTCATAAAGTCGTCTACTATGGCAATTCTGGGAGAGATGCATAACGTACAATTTTATTCAGCTATGCCTAATTTAGATCGGAGGATGATCCTACTTGTGGAGTGGATAGTTTAACCCAAATAATTTTTTTTTAATTGATAACAAAATGAGCCACAAGTAAAATCATCCTCTGGACTAAACAGAGCATTAATTGCAAAGTGCTTAAATAAAATATTGTAAAACCAAGGACTTCAAGGAATCCAAGATGATGAGGTGATGGACTGTCAGGTAATAATAATAAAGTAATATAAGGTAATTTGAAACTATAGTTTATATTTTATAATAATAATTTTTAACCTATATATGTCTCTTATGCTCTGTTTGACATTGCTAGATTAGATTAACTACTTCACTCAACTGGGTCAAAAATAACATTTTCCATAATCCAAGGTAATCATTGTTTTTTTAGTTAATTACTATTTTTATATATAAAATGTATAAAATTATAAATAAGAGTAAATTGAAAATCTAATTTATACTCTGTAATGGTAATAATAATTTTGTAACCTATAATTTTATTGCAGTATGCTTGAACCCAGTGAGCAAAATATTAGCAATATGCTAGCAGTATCACTTAAGTGACAATGTCAATATTCAACAACTTGAGGTATGTCCAGTTAAAAATTTTTTTAGTTTATGATTAAATAACTTGATGTATAAGTGAAAGCTGTTACCTTCATTTTTATTTAGATTTTGACATTACCATTTCTTGCACACAATATACAACTGTTTTCAAACACATTTCTAGTCTTGACTCCTTTAAGCAGAAATTTGATATTGACATTTCTTGTACTAAGCCATAGATATATATTATATATGTAACAATATTATGAAATACTGTACTTATATTATATATATAATATCATTCATTAAATAGATATATTTAATGATATTATTACGTATAATTTAATATTATTATTATGTATAATTATATGTATTTATATATCAGGATATTGCATGTGAGAGTACTTTTAAATGTAACACAAAATTATTACTTCCTTTACCTCTGATGACCATAGAAGATTATTCCAAATTTGAAGAGGAGCTTCAGCAAGATAGGAAAATCAGAAAACAGTTTGTAAGTTTTTTATTCAATGTTGCTTTAAAACTGAACTATCACGGCGCATTTCAATGTATAGAATTTAATGCCTTATCTGGATAAATTAATCACTATTTTGCATCTGATTTTTATGTCGCAAAAAAAGAAAATTTCAACAATTGAAGGAACTACATATGCTAATAAAACGAGAAATATTCTCAAATTTATTTTAGGTGATAACGTTTTCAAAAAATAGTCGTGAACAGGAAAAAACAATCAACACCAATGAAAGACACATTTGCTAGTATTATTATAGGTAACTAAAAACAAAAATATTATAAATGTAAGTTTAAAAAGTATGTTTTAATTAACACAGTAAATGTTACTTTTCTTTAAATAAATTTCAATTATGAAAAACAAATCAATATATACAATTGATCAATTGAGATCAATCTAACAATTGAAATGTAACAATTGTTATATTTAAATCTTTATATTTTAACAACAGTTTTCAATATTAAAGTTTAAAAAAATTGTAATTTAAACATAATTTTGTAATTATTTCAGATTACAATTCTACGGTAGAAAATTGCGGTCTTCATCAAGTATACAAAGTTATTCAAGAATGGTTGCGGCACGCAGGAGATCGCCTCAATTAGTTATTGAAAAAGTGACATAAATAAGTAGTATTACAAATATATATTTTTATAAGTATTAAATATATTTTTATGTGTTACAAATACAGGGTGTCCCATTTTAAGTGGGCGCCCCGAATAACTTCGAAGGAAGTGATTTTCAAAGAAAATGACCCAGACAAAAGTTGTTGGGTTTGGAGGGGACATCCGATGGTGACATTAGTTTAACCTAGAATGTACGTGCCAAGGACATATGGAGGTCAACTTTGTTTTTTTAAATGGAACACCCTATTTTTGATTCCAAAATCTAATAGCTGGTGTCAAGAGCTTTTCAAAACACTATAATGAAGTTATTTTTCATTAAGTACTTTTCGAGTTATAAGACTTGTAAATTACAGTATTTTGACATAAAATATAAAATATCTTGTAAAACATTCAGTTTTTGAGAATGTTACCATAATACTTTTATGCACAAAATAATGAGACAAATGAATTGGAATAAAGAAAACACATTGGTTTTAAAAAAAAGTATGCAGTTGCATGTTGCAAATTACATATTTTTTCTTGAAAGCAACTATGTGTTTTCTTTATACCAATTGATTCGTCTCATTATTTTATGCATAAAAGTATTGAGGTAAGATTCCCGAAAATTGAATGTTTTACAAGATATTTTATATTTTATGTCAAAATGCTGTAACGTTCAAGCCTCATAATTCGAAAAGTACTTAATAAAAAATAACTTTATTATAGTGTTTTGAAAAGCTTTTGAGACCAGCTATTAGATTTTGGAATCAAAAATAGGGTGTTTTATTTAAAAAAACAAAGTTGACCTCTATATGACCTTGGCACGTACATCCTAGGTTAAACCAATGTCACCATCGGATGTCCCCCTCCAAACCCAACAACTTTTGTCTGGGTCATTTTCTTTGAAAATCACTTCCTTCGAAGTTATTCGAGGTGCCCATTTAAAATGAAACACCCTTATACATATGTATATTTGGATTTTATATTTTAACATATACATATATCTTAATATAGTTTATATAAGAAGTATTATGTAAAAGTATTATGTTCAAAAGTGTTATGTAAAGAAATATTAATAATAAAATATTAATAACAAGTTTAAAAATATTCTATTCTAAAATAATTACTCAAGTAGCAAATAATCGTCATCTGATGTTTCTTTATTATCATAATTGATTATTATATTATATGAGTATAAAATCATTACATTAATAAAACGTTTGTCTTAAGGGCATCTTAAAATAAGTCTCACAGACGTCTTATAAGACAAATCAAGAGACATCTTAAAGACGTTTTTAAATCGTCGAAAATTGTGGCATAAGACGTCTCATAGACGTTTTAAATACGTCTCTTTGACAGTTTCGTAAGACGTCTGAGTGATATTAAGATGTCTATCAGACGAATATAAAACGACATAATGTTGTGTGGGTATAAATGTATATTCAAATATTTTTAGAAGTTAAAAAATTGTATTGTTAATTATATAACTGTTTTATTAAAGACTTTTTTTAAAGATAAATAAAACCTTTAATGCTTGCAATAATTATTTTTGAAATATAAATTATTTTGTGTAGCAAATCTATGATTTACGATTTAGGTTAGTAATCTTTTACATTTAAGAGAGAAATCAAACAGCGTAGGTTTATTTGCTTAAACACTTTCATTAAACTTTACACATGATTTACATGGATTGCGGTTAGTGCGTGTCTTTTTTGGTTTATAGAAAATATTTAAAATGTCTTTTCCTAATCTTGATACATTTCCGAATTCTTTGTTTAATACTTTCTAGACGTGCGCTCGGAATTAGTTGCACATTTCGGGCCGATTCTAAAGACGACGCCTCCTGTCCCCCATTACCGCCCGGCCGCTGGCGGCCGAGCCGCCGATAGCTCTGGTTCAGGAGCGTTTTATATTAAAGCCTAAGCAGAATGGCTGTCTTATAATTTTAAGACAGCCTTAAGTCTTTGTCTCGAAGTGACGCACAATACTGTCTTGTGTCTCGAGTCTTAAACGTATATACACCGTGTCACGCTGCAAAAAGTACGTGTGATAAACGAATATATATAAAAAAGAACTATATATATACACAACTACTAATAAAAGGTAAATATTTCATAAACATTTATAATATAATATATTTAAATCTGTTAAATATGTAATAACAATTTTATGCATTGCAATGTATTTCAATAAATGAATATAACCTAACTTTTTATTAAAAGGATTTATTAAAGGTTATACTTATTTATAAATCAAATTTTTGATCCAATATTATATGTTTAAACTTAATTGTATATCTAATTATTATATAATTATTTAATCAAAATTATCTTGTTATTTAAATTGTATTACATGGATTGAC